AGGTAATTCTTCAGGAAATACATCTAAAAATTCAAAGACAACTGAAACATTCTGCAATGCCTGAACATCTTTATTTAAGACCTCCATTTTGGCTAAGAATACTATATTTACCCATCTTCAATGCACTCACAAGAGAGGAAGTTGTATTCTTCTCACCGGGGAAATTAAATGTCTTCACATTTGGTAAATTAAATTTTATTCTTTTCTTCCAGCATTCAATTGTAGCGAAATGTTTAACTAACCAATTCATTCCCAAGATGATGTCAAACATTTTAATAGGCATTATAATCAATTATGTTGGAAATTTGTAACCCTGAATATTCAAATTTATAAGGCACATCCTATTAGCAGGCAAACTACCCCCCGTTGGCATCTTAATATATAAGGTAGGCATAAAACATGCAGTCTCAAAAGATAAATCGGAATATAATTCTTCAGAAATAAACGAATGGGATGCACCAGAATAAAAAAGAACTCTGCCAAACTTGTTAGAAATCAAAAGTATACCTGTCACCACCTCCTCTGAATCTTTAGCCTCTTGGGGTGTAATAACAAACACTCTAGTCTTCACATGTTGATTGCCTTTAACATATGATGCTTCTCCTTTAAGCTGAACTAGTGGTCTTCCTTGTACTGTTGGCCTTCCTTGAAATTGAGTTTTTCCTGTCTGATTGCCTTCCATATATCTCTTATGTTATGTTTGTTCCTGATACCCCTGATATCCCTGTGGCCTAGCATTGAGTCTTCTCTCTAGAGGGCAGTCTACCTTGCGATGACCTAACTCACCACATTGAAACATCCGCCAGATCCCACCAAATACTGACAAAAATGTCGCTTCCCATACTGCTCACACAGGTTTTTCAAGCTTACTCTGTTTTTGCTTATCTTCCAACTTTGACTTCTTATTTCTGAATCGATCATCCTTTTCAAATATCTTCCTTTTTCTTATTTGTTGTTGCTCCAAACCGTACTTAGAAAAATTCAACTCATTTTCAATCCTCCTGACTCTCTCCACTAAAATTGAAACTTCACTGATATCAAAAGGCGCCAATGCCAGTCGTAGTTGATCCCTCAGGCATCTCAAAAATCTGTAACACTTTTCCTCCTGGTGCTGACATAGTGTGGCGCATAACGGGACAAAGAAGTGAACTCAGCTTCATATTGCATAACTGTCTTGGAACCCTGAGTAAGATTGAAGAATTTGTCTTGCAGAGCTAGTCTGGCTAAAGGAGGAATAAACCAGTCTATGAATACCCTTACAAAATCGTCCCAATGTATACTAGTGATAGGCATTTGTCCAAATTTTTCCTTATGTTGTGCTTGCCACCACCTTTCTGCTTCTCCTTCTAGCACAAATATAACTAATGATACATTTCTGTTTTCAGGACATATCATACCATCTAAAATCTTTCAAATCTTCAACAACCAGTCATCAGCCACTGGTGGATCACTTGTAGCTTTAAATGCTGGCGGTTTAAAAATCTGAAATAATTTTAAATGTCGATCCACTTCACTGTCACCTTCAGATCTAGGTCTACTGCTGGTAGAAGATTTCTCCATAGATGCTATTTTATCTACCACTTGTGAGATCAATTGCACAATATCTTGAAACTCCTTAGACTTATTTCCTTCATGTATTCCTCTTTCCGTATCTAGCCTGGAAGACTGACCAGTCATTCTTTCTGGCAACTCAGACATAATTATTTGTATGCATGTATATAATTCATATAATACATATACTCATATTAATAAACATAAACATTTTAAAGCATTAAAAAAAAGCCTGTTATGCATATGTGCTATTGTACTATAATATTATGCATAATTCCATTAAACCTTGATTCAACCTATAGCTTTGTATATATCATTTTCGTAATATCTCATCCTACTTCATAGTCTAAATCCGATTATGCTTCCATTTGATTTTAATTAGGCTTTGATATCAATTTCTGTCACACCCCAGTTTGGCTCACCCTCTAACATTCAAACTGAAGTATAACAGAGAAGAACTTCAACAGATCAAACTCTACTCTTAATAATAGGAAGCATGTAATATACCTTACCTAACATCAACATAATTAAAACAAAGACATAGCTCTACTAAAACTTTTGAACTTTAGTTACATATCAAAAGGTTTATACAACTATTCTTTAGATCTCCTCTAAGATCTCTTTGTACACCAAAACATATTTACACCAAAAACGGATGGTCACCTCTTTCTCGCCTAGTGCCCTACGAACTCCTTTCCCTTACCTGTAGTATAACAACTGCTGATGAGCTAGGGCTCAATGAAATACACCAGCAATGTAAAATAAATAATAATAACATTGTTTAACAATTTAGAATTTCATAACATAGGTAAAACATATTGAAATTCTATAATGATAGTAAGAAATGCGTAGCATTTCTTTCCCTTTTTGCTGTCTAATTAACAACTTCAAACTAGTCATATGATGTCTATAAGTTTGTGCACCCTTTTTGGTCTTTCAATTCAAGATTGGGTCTAGATTCTCAACTTTTAGAATTGAAGTTGCTCTCTCATTCAAGGTTGGGTTCAAATTCTCAACTTTTAGAATAAGAGAGTATAGGCTTACATCGTTAGGTTTTTTGCCCTTACTGGTGCAGGCTTATCCCCCAACATATGACTTAAAAGCACTTATACTCTCCTTCATTTCAGGTACCTTTTCATAATCATTTCCAACAATTATATAAATTGGAATCAACTACATGTAATTCACATATGAAGCAATTGAACTATTTGAAACACATGCTATCATGGGAAAAAATGCTATTATAAACAAGATAAATATCAATTTGTAATTATATAAACTTTTTATTATTTCTATGTATTATTGAGTACCTCACCTTGTTTGCAATTTGCGCTCTTACAATTCCCTGTCTTCTTTTTCTTCTATATACAACCTCCGTCAAACTTTTTGTCATCCTTTCAAATTCCTTTCTTAACTCTTTTTTTTTCCCTAAATTGGATTCAATAACAACCCATTGAATTTGTCTTCTTACTGCATTCAAAGCTTTTGAGAGTAAGATTTTAGATCTTAAGATTTTATCTGTGCATGAGGATGCTAATATTATATGTGATAAAGTGGTTAGTGATATTAAGAATATTGCAAAAAATGTACTTGGAGTATCAAAGAGAAAAGCTCCTAATAGTAAAAATAGTTGGTAGTAGAATCCAAATGTGCAAGAAAATATTAATAATAAGAAGATTTGTTATAAAATTAGTTTAATTTTAAAAATTCTGATAATTGAGAAAGATATAAAGGTGCTCGTAAGGAATATAAGAAAGCAATATGCGATGCGAAGACCTTAACTTTTAGTGATTTATATAATAGATCAGATACTAAGGAGGGAGAAAGATATATGTATAAGTTAGCCAAACAAAGAGATAGGAGTAGTAAGGATTTAGTTCAAATGAAGTATATAAAGGATGAAGATAAAAAAATACTTTTCTTAGAAGATGATATTCAACAAAGGTGGATGAGATATTTTGCTAGACTTTTTAATGAAAATTGTGAAAAATAAGATTGACTATAGTGCCTTAGCACCCTAAATGAAAATAAAGGTTTATGTTTTTATCGGCGTATTAGTAAAATCGAGGTTAGAGAGGCTTTAAAAAAATGAAGGGTGGAAAAGCTGTTGGACCTGATGATATTCTAATAGAGGTGTGGAAATGCTTAGGAGATGAAGGTATTTCTTGGCTTACTAAACTTTTAATATTATTTTGAAGACTAAAAAGATGCCAGATGAGTGGAGAATGAGTGTGTTAATTCCTATTTTTAAGAATAAAGGTGATGCACGAGATTGTGCGAATTATAGAGGAATTAAGTTAATGTGTCATACTTTAAAACTATGGGAGCGAGTTATGGAGCATAGGTTGCGGCGTGATGCTAATGTTTCTCAAAATCAATTTGGATTCATGCAGGTAGGTTCAAACACAAGGTGGTTTGACCAAAAAAGTTCTTGAAAAGAAAGGAGTTAATAATGCTTATATTCAAATCATTAAAGATATGTATGCAGGAGCGATTACTTGTGTTCAAACACAAGGTGGTTTGACCAAGTATTTCCCTATTTCGGTTGGGTTATATCAAGGATCCGCCTTAAGCCCATATCTTTTTGCTTTAGTCATGGATGTTCCCACTAGACATTTGCAAGAGGATGTACCTTGGTGTATGCTTTTTGCTGATGATATTCTTCTTGTTGATAAGACTAGGGAGGGAGTTGAAAGTAAAGTTGAATTATGGAGGTCAACATTAGAGACTAAAGGTTTCCCCTGAGTAGATCTAAAACAGAATATATGGAGTGTAATTTTAGTAGTAATAGACCTAGTGAGGGGATTGTGACTTTGGGCGATCAAGTCATTAATAAGATTACACGTTTTAGATATCTTGGATCTATTATTCAGAGTGATGGTGAAATAGATGGGGATATTATCAGCAGAATTCAAGTTAGATGGTTGAAGTGGAGGAATACATCCGGCTTGTTGTGTGATAAAAAAGTACCTCTCAAACTTAAGGGAAAATTCTATAAAATGGTAGTGAGGCCTGCAATGCTTTATGGTGCTGAATGTTGGTCATTAAAAGAGAAGCATAATATTAAGTTAATTGTGGCAGAGATGAGGATGCTCAGGTGGATGAGTGGCTTTACCCTTAGAGATAGGACACAAAATGAGTATATACGTGAAAAGGTTGGAGTAGCTCCAGTAGAAGATAAGATTAGAGAGAGTCGCCTTAGATGGTTTGGTCACATAAAACGGCGGCCTTCCAATGACTTGATTAGGAGAGTAGAGGTATTAGATTTGACTTATGTTAAGTAAGGTAGATGCAGACCTAAAAAGACCTGGTTAGAAAATATTAGGAATGACTTTTCTTTATTAGATTTAAACGAGAATTTGACCTTTAATAGGACACAATGAAGAAAAAGGATTCATGTAGCCGACCCCACGTAGTGGGATAAAGGCTTGATGTTGTTGTTATACTACATTCAAAGCTTGTTTTCAGTAATTATGGTCACATTCTAGCAAAATTTAGCAAAGCATTGTGGTCGCATTCTAGCAAAATTTAACAAACTTTGCAACAACTTATCAATTTCAGCAACATTATATCAGCTCTTACTCTTTGTTTTTCCATTGGGTCAGCACAAAACCATAAATAACAACCCTTATCTTGATTGTTTAAGCAAACAACTGCAGTTTAAACAGCAAAAAACACTGATTTTAGTACTTAAATTCAACAACTAACTTGAATTTTCAAAATTTAAGCTAGTAAAATCAATAACCACTGATTTCCTCACGTTTATGTTCTAACTACAACACTTTATAACAGCAGGAAAGCAGCAATTTCTTAATTTCAGAAGTCAGCCGCAACAGCTAGCAACCCAGCAATCCTCCCAGATTTTCCCTCAGCTTGAACTCGAAGAGAACCAGTGACGGGTGAGATAGAATGAGGGAAATGCTTTAGTGCTTAAGTCAAGTTGATATATATAATATTGCTATATTCCACTAGCAATATAATTATATACTATAACTCCACTAATTCCTCTTGCTAGCCGTATGATCGCACTCCCAAACATCAGACCATTGCATGTGGGTTATAGTGGAAATGCTGCAGTGTTTACAAAATATAATAATTGATTTAATTTCTTTGTTATACATTTCATTAAATGATATCAAATTATTAATTAACTATTTTTAAGCTATTAATGAATATACAAATTATATATTGAAATGTTCAGACTTTATAATAGAATTTAATGAAATCAAATTCGGCATTTTCATATGTGGGGGAAAAATAGAGTACGTTTTGGGGCAAATCGTATACTTATTTTGGGGCAAATGGTCCTACTCTTGGAAGTAATTTGGACCTTCTTTGATTTGAATTTTTTTTTTCCTTTATGTAACCTTATGTTGCACCGATACAACTATTTATGAAGGCGTGTTGTATTTGATACATAGATACACGGATACGCCTCCGATACGGCGCCGATACATGTCGGATATGACTTTGCTTTATCCAACTAAATTACTATTTAATTTTTAAAGGACACACGTATTCGATAAGCGTGTTCGTTGAAAAATAAAAAAAGCCAAAAAAAAGACGCGTCGTATTTACTTCCATGGCTGTGAGCGAGGTTCTCTCATTTCCGAGATGGATTTGAGTCTCTTGATGATATGAGAATATTAGAAATTGCTAATCTTTCACTTGATGAAAGACAAACCACTGAAGAAGCTAATCTTATCATTCCTTTTATTGAAAAGTTGAAACTTCATTATGTTATGCTTTTGTTGTTTTACTATACATTTATTACTTACTTTTATTTTGATATTATAAGCTACAATGCTAGAAATGATGTTGCTTTTTTTTTTGTAATTTTAATTATTATGCTTTGATTGCTTTCTTAATTTTTATGCATGATTTATAAATTATAATGCTGTGACCGCGCTGTACCCGTATCCTGTATTTTTAAGAATTGACGTGTCCCGTATCCGTATCGTGTCGTATATGTGCCGCCGTATCCATATCGGTGCAACATAGATGTAACCAAATCTAATCTCCCGGCTGCAAGGGTTATGTGGTACGATATTTGTTGGCTTGCTTAGCACATTTTTCAGTTCATTGCTCAACATTAATTCTCGCCTTCGCATGAATATGCTTTACAAAGTTTGCTTTCTTTTTACCATTTAAATTAAAATCTCCCGTTACAGGAAAAGGAGATAAATCTAATGGAGTTAAGGGATTAAAATCATACACAATTTCAAAAGATGAAAGCTTAGTAGCAGAATGAACAATATGATTATAAGCAAACTCAACATGTGGCAACCATTCTTCCGAAGTTTTAATATTCTTTATAATAATAGCTCCCTACAAAGTAGACAAGACTCTATTTACAATTTCAGTCTGACCATCCATTTGTGTATGACAATTGATAGAGAATGATAGTTTAGTATCTAATTTGCACCATAAAGTTTTTCAAAAATAATTTAAAAATTTGACATTTCTATTCAACACAATAGTCCTAGGCATTTCATATAATCTCACAATTTCACTGAAGAATAAATTAGCAATTTTTGAAGCATTACCAGGTTTATGATAGGGAATAAAATGTATCATTTTAGAAAATCTATCAACTATTACAAATATTGAATCTTTCCCATTTTTAATTCGGGGTGGTCACATAGCACGACGACCTTCCGATGACTCGGTTAAAAAGTAGATGTATTATATTTGACTTATGTTAAGAAAGGTAGAGGTAGACCTAAATAAACTTGGTTATAAATTATTATAAATGTCATTTCTTTATTAGATTTAGATGTGAATTTCACTCTTAACAGACCACAATGGTGAAAAAGGATTCATGTAGCTGACCCCATAGTGGGCTAAAGGCTTGTTGTTATTGTTATAAACCTAATAGAAAATTCATTGATATAACTACCCATGCTTCATGAGGAATAGGTAATGGCATATATAAGCCATGGTTTTGCATTCTAGATTTGGCTTGTTTGCAAGTAACACACTCACTACAAATTTGTGACAAAAAAAGTGTTTGTATAATAGTTGTAGTATTGGTTACCCCAAAGCATGGTTTAAAATTGCGCAATATGAGGCTCGCCTTGAGGCCTGCATTTGCGCAATTCTAGTAAAAAATGCCTCGATGCTTACGCCTCAAAATTTTTTATGAGGCTTGCATCTCAACTTGGTCGAGGCCCGCCTCGCCTCACTGGCATGAGGCTTACGCCTCACGCTATATATATTAAAATTTACATAAATCTTGAAGAAATGCCCGACATTGGACTCTATAGGGGAGGTGGAAAGGGAGAGAGCAGTTCATCATAATGATGATTCAAATGAAGAAACCCTTAGTGATAACAGTGCTGATGATTTATGAGTTCTTATGTGATATGTCATTGCTATTTATTTTTGGAAATTGAAATTATATTTTAATGAAAAGAATACTGAGATTTGGGAAAGATAGAATTTTGAGTTGAACTATATTTCATGTTGTCTTATTATTGAGATATTTTGATTTCACTCCATATCTTATGCTTTTTTATGTTTTTTTTTATGTTTATATTATTCACTCATTAGTATATAAAAAATTTATCATCTTATGTTTACGCAATCTTTTGATTTTGAAGCTTACGCCTCAAAACGCCTTGAGGCTTACGCCTCGCCTCACGAATGAAAAACGCCTCAATACCAGAATACGCAATTTTAAACATTGCCACAAAGTGCCCCATTAACCCCCAATATGTGATTCTCTAATCAGTAATTCTCTTAGAGAACCATTTGGAACACAACTTATTTTCTCAAAACAAAAATACATTAAGTATGCAAAATTTACCACTTACAAGATTGAAATTCTTCACAAAAGTCTAGGTCTTTAGAATATAATTCCTTGACGTATTTAAATCCAAGTAATTTAGAGTCAAGAGGAGAGTATACATGCGTGAGAAAGCGTCGGCTATCACCTTTGTCTCCTTTTATTTGTATAAGATGATATATGGAAAAGGTCTCAATGAATTCCATCCATCGAGTGTCTTTTGTTCAATTTCTACTGTCCCTTGAGTTGCTTGAGCATCTCATGATTATCGTGTATCACTAAATCCTTGGGCTATAAATCTTTTGTTCAATTTCTACTGCCCCTTGAGATGCTTTAGCGACTCATGATTAGCGTGTTTCACAAACTCCGTGGACGATAGATGGTGTTGCCATATCTTTAAGGATCTAACCAAGACATATAATCCCTTGTCATATGTGGAATAATTTAGGGCAGTACCATTTAGCTTTTCACTAAAGTAAGCAATCAGTCACCATTCTTGCATAAGTACAACACCAATACCTATTCTTGAAGCATCACATTCAATTTCAAAATTCTTGTCAAAGTTAGGCAGAAATAATAAAGGAGTACTGAGTTAGTTTTTGTTTAATAAGTGAAAATGATTTTTCTTGTTCTTCACCCCATTTAAATTCAATATTTTTATTGATAACTTTAGTGAGTGGGGAGGCCAAGGTCCTAAAATCTTTCAAAAATATTCTATAAAAACTAGCAAGCCCCTGAAAGCTCCATACCTCATTTACGTTCGTCTGTCTTGACCTCTCGTGGATGGCTGGCATGTTTTCCTCATCCACCTGTATGCCTTGTGAACTAACAACATATCCAAGGAACACAATTCTATTGGTACAAAATGAACATTTTATTAAACTAACATATAGTTCTTTCCTAAGCACTTCCAACGCTAATTTTAAGTGTGTAATATGTTCATCCAATTTTTTACTATATATGAGTATTTCATTAACACTACCGTTGCCAGGTCCCAAGTCCTGGATGAGAAAAGTGGAGGGTTACGTTAGGTAGTCGACAACCAACGTAAAACTTGTCGAATAATAATGACATGAATCATTTAAGAAATTTTGTTAATGCTAGGGTGTCCCCTAGAAGCGACGCACTGTATGACCTGAATACAGTGACGAGTGTGCAAGGGCCGCTGCACCGGCGCCCGGGTGCAGTGTTAAATAGGCAAGGGTTCCCACATCAAGAACGGATGTGGGTAAAGAAACTAGTCAATGATCCTAAAATTAGGATAGGAACTTGGAATATAGGTTCCCTTACAGGAAAATTAATGGAATTAATAGATATTATGATTCATAGGAAGATAAATATTTTGTGCTTCCAGGAAACTAAATGGGTTGGAGAGAAGGCTAAGGAAATTGATAGTTTAATAGAATTAGAGTGAGTGGGCCCTATCCCAGTGAGGCGTACGCCTCACCAGGAATTGCGCAATTGCGCCTCTGAGGCGCGCCTCAGTCCCAGTGAGGCGTACGCCTCTTATAGAGGTGGAATTGCGTAGGTTCCGAGGCGTTTTTGGGAGGAATTGCGCAGAGGCGCGCCTCTAATTGCGCAATTTTAAACAGAGATTTAAACGAGAATTTGACCTTTAATAAAACACAATGGAGAAAAAGGATTCATGTAGCCGACCCCACGTAGTGGGATAAAGACTTGATGTTGTTGTTGTTGTTGTTGTATATGAGCATATCATCAAAGTAACAACAACAAACATTTCACTATAAGCTTGTAAAACATGATTCATTAATCTCATAAAAGTGTTGGGTGTTTTAGTTAAGCCAAAAGGCATAATTAACCATTCATATAACCATGTTTTGTTTTAAAAGCCATTTTTCACCCATCACATTCTTTCATACGAATTTGATGATACCCACTTTTTGAATTGTTTTTGAAAATTAAACACATCATATAATTCATCTAGCATATCATCTAAATGATAAATAGGGTAGAGATACTTCACCATGATGTTATTGATGGCTCGACAGTTACGCACATCATCGACGTCCCATCCTTTTTGGGCACAAGTAACACTGGACATAGGCTCATGCTCTTCTTTACTAAATATTTTTCCATTAGTTCGTTGACCTG